GCCGCCCTTTGGAGGGGCGCTCCGGCTGGCTGGATGGTGGCGGGGCAGGCCAGGGCGCGCAGTACAAACGACGGTTCATTAGAAGACGCTGCTTTCTGGGGCTGTTTATTGTTCATTGGTCGGTGATCCATCTGTTGAGAGACACCCGTTCCCCTGGGTCCCCAGCCCTGGGTCAGGGGCTCTCCACAAGGCTCTAGCCCAGCCAGAAACTCCTCGTGATGCTCTGAGACATGCCTAGCTCCGGGACTCCCAGCCCTCCCGGACACACCCAGGCACCCCCCCGCCCCCCGGCAGCCTGCTCAGTAGGGCTCCCCGGCTCCTGCCTTGCTCGGCGGGGGATGGAGCAGCAATGCTCCCTCTAAGCTAGAGTCAGGTGCCACCCCTGCTGATCAGCAGAGCGCCCACAGCTGCCCACAGGCAGTAGCATGGTTTCTATTAGTGGTGCCCAGGGCCAGACTAAGCGGTGGGCTAGCCGGGCAGCTGCCCAGGGTGCCAACCTACGGGGGGCACCCGGCTCCCGGCGGGCTGCAGTGGCCGCCCAGGGCAGGGGCCTTGTTAACCCCCGCAGCACCGGCCAGCAGCGCCCTTCCCCCTGCGGCCGCAGGGCCCTGCACAGCGGCATTGGCAGTGGCCGGGCCGACTGGGCAGCACATGCGCCGTGCGCCCGGAGGCAGGGCTATGCGCCCCGGGGGCAGCACCACGCACCTGGGGACCGGGGTGCCAAAATGGGCCGGCCCTGGTGGTGCACATCTGCACTTGCCTAGGTGCACAGAGAATTTGTTCTGCACATAGGCAGACAAAATGAGGGACCATTGGAGGGCAGCACGGAGGCTGGCAGGATCCCAGAGCAAGCGCGAGGGCGACTGGATGAATGGATATTCCAGCGTCCCAGGAATCCCAGGCAACAGGGACGTAGCCTCCGTAGCCTTGAGTCCTGGACAGGTTCCCACGCCCCACCTGCAGTGGGTGGCAGCAGTGCGGGAGGCTGGTGCACACGGTGCACGTCCCGGCCAAAGGAGACCAGCAGAGTCTGACGTCTTGACGCGATGACACTGGCTAACCCAACCGTAGCTCCTGGTCTGCGCTGGCCTAGAGGGGCAGGAGGCGGCTGGTGCCTCAGCCCCGGGTAGGGGGGCGTCAGTTGGGTTCTCCTCCGCCTGCCCCCAGCGCTAGGCTTCTCTCCAGGGCAGGAACTGCTGGGCTCTCCCTAGGGCTGCCTCTGGGCTAGGATGTCCCGGATGCACATGTACAGGAACACGTACTGGTCCTGAAAGAGGCAGGAGACAGAGGGGTGTGTGTGTGTTCAGAGAGCCGTTCCACACAGGGGGGGGCTTGACCCAGCCTCACCCCATCAGGAGTCACTGAGGGAGACATCAGCCTGGCCCCCGGACCGTCATGACCCTGTGCTTCTGCCGTTGTCCCATTTCATATAACCAGGCCCAAGAAAACGCTGGGGGGAAAGGACCTTGAGAGGTCACCGAGTCCAGCCCCCTGCCCTGCGGTAGGACCGGGACCAGCCTGACGGGGGTTTGTCCAACCTGTTCTAGGGCCGGTTTGGTTCAAGTGGGCTGTGCCACGAAAGCTCATGACACCATCTGCATGTTTTGTCAGCCTATAAAAGTGCTACCAGACCGTTTGTTCTTTGTTACGTTTTTCCTGTTACAGACTAACTTGGCTACCCCTCTGAATCATGATTAATGACCTGGATGAGGGGATGGGTTGCAAGTGTGTGGAAGACACTAAGCGAGGGGGAGAGGTAGATACGCTGGAGGGCAGGGACAGGGTCCAGAGTGACCTAGACAGATTAGAGGATTGGGCCACAAGAAATCGGATGAGGTTCCACAAGGACAAGGGCAGAGTCTTGCCCTTGGGACGGAAAAATCCCAAACATTGTCACAGGCTGGGGGCCGACTGGCTAAGCAGCAGTTCTGTAGAAAAGGCCCTGGGGGTTACAGCGGATGAGAAGCTGGATATGAGTCAACAGTGAGTCCTTGTAGCCAAGAAGGCTAATGGCATATTAGGTTGTATTAGGAGGAGCATTGCCAGCAGATCCAGAGATGTGATTATTCCTCTTTACTCAGCTCTGGTGAGGCCACATCTGGAGTATTGTGTCCAGTTCTGAGCACCGCACTAAGGAAAGGATGTGGACACATTGGAGAGGGTCCAGCAGAGGCGACCAAAATGATTCGGGGGCTGGAGCACATGACCTATGAGGAGAGGCTGAGGGATTTGGGCTTGTTGAGTCTGCGGAAGAGAAGAGTGAGGGGGGATTTGAGAGCAGCCTTCAGCTACCTGAAGGGGGGTTCCAAAGAGGATGGAGAGAGGCTGTTCTCAGTGGGGGCAGATGCAGAACAAGGAGCAACAGGCTCAAGGTGCCGTGGGGGAGGTCTAGGTTGGATATTAGGAAAAACTATTTCCCTAGGCGGGTGGGAAGCCCTGGGATGGGTTCCCTAGGGAGGGGGTGGAATTTCCATCCCTAGAGGTGTTTAAGTCTCGGCTTGACAAAGCCCTGGCTGGGATGATTGAGTTGGGATTGGTCCTGCTTTGGGCAGGGGGCTGGACTCGATGACTCCTGAGGTCTCTTCCAGCCCTGGGATTCTAGGATTCTGGATTCCACCCCCTCCCTTGGAAGCTTGGTTCAGAGCCTTTGGGGTTAGAAGGTTGTTCCCTAATGCCTTGCTGAAGACTCAGCCTATTCCTACTCACCCTCCCTCCCGTGGAGGTGGAGAGCAAGCCAGCTCCCCATTCAGGCTTCTTTTTCCAAGACTAAACACACCCAGGTTTTAACTTTTCACCGTACAGCAGGTTTTCTAAGGCTTTTAGCATCGCCCCACCCCGGGTCTCTCTCCTCCCTCCCTAACGCGGAGTGCCCGGAATTGGACGCAGGGTTCCAGCTGAGGCCGACCCAGGGCCAAGTATCTCCCATGTCTCGCCAGTATGAGATTAGCCTCTCTTGCAGCGTCATCCCCCTGCGGGCTCCTGCTCCGGTGGTGACGCACTCTGACCCTCGGGCCCGTCCCAGCTGTGCCGCCACCTAGCCAGGGAGTCCCCACTCGGTAGCCGGGCAATCGATTTTACCGTCCCGAGTGACGTTCTTTGCACTTGCCTTGTTGAGTTTCATGTGGTTGATTTCAGGCCAGTTCCCCAATTCATCAAAGGTCATTTTGAACTGTGACCCTGCCCTCCCAGCTGGGTGCCGTGCAAGCGTACGCTCCACCCCATTAGCCAAGTCACTCCGGAAAATATTTACTAGTGCTGGTCCCAGGACTGACCCCTGCAGGTCAGCGACCCCTTGATAACTTCTCTTTGGTCTTGCAGGTGTGCGCCCATCTGGCACCACATTTCTCTAGGTTGCTTATGAGCCTGTCATAAGAACGGCCAGGCTGGGTCAGACCAAAGGTCCTGTCTGCCCAGATGTCCGAGAGGGAGGGAACACAACAGGCAATCCTCACATGAGCCCTCTCCTGTCACCCATTTCCAGAGGAACAGAGGCTAGGGACACCATTCCTACCCATCCTGGTTAATCTCCAGGAAGCTCTCTAGCTCTTTTTTGAACCCTGTTAAAGTCCTAGTCTTCACAACATCCTCTGGCAAGGAGTTCCACAGGTTGACTAAAGAACTGTGGGACTGTGACAAAAGCCTTGTTAAAAGCAGGCATCTCACATCCCGAGGGGGAGCGGCAGGGGATTGTCCCACATGGGTACAATCAAGGGGTCCGTGCCCTGGCTGTCAGGGATGGAGGGCGAGGGAGGGGCTGGGACGGGTGAGGGTTTGATTTTCAGCTCGGCCTGGCTCCTGGGCCTTGAGCGGACATTGCTGGTTTTCGCCTTAACATCAAAGGCGTTTCCCCCCAAGCCTCCCAGTTCTCTAGGGGCCTAACTCCCATTGCAGCCAGTGGGAGTTAGGCACTTAGCCACTGAGGATCCGGCCTGGGAATCCTTTCCCTGGGGTGCAGAGGGGGCAAACCCTCGCTCTGGGAGCAGGGAGAGCGGGGCACAAAGCCGGGGCTGAGAGCCAAGCTGTTTGTCGGGCATGGCCGGGCAGGTGGGAACATCCTGAGGAGAGAGGAGGCGGACAGAGAGTGTACGGTGCCCTGGGCCTGCTCTGAGCATCTCTCCCGGCTTGCACCCGGGCTCCGGGCCTCTGTTCTGCACCGGGTCCTCGCTTCCCCAGGCTGGGCCGGACCCTGACACCCTCCCCACCTACCGGCGTCGGGGTCATGAGGCAGCAGCTTCTCGTCAGCCTGAGGGTGACTCCATAGATGTCCACGCTCCGCTCAGCTTTCATCTGGTGCAGCAGGCAGTCCAGGGCGATCAGCGTCCCCATCTGGCCCACGCCGGTGCTGCAAGAGGGGCAGCCGAGGGGAGAGAGCTCTCCCCCCGCCCGCCAGGCAGCCCCCGGCACGCGAGGGTCTAGCACGCAGGGGACGGACATGCCTGGCGGGTCATGGAGCCTACGTCCTAGCAGGGCAGGGCAGAGATGCCCCAATGAGAGGGGCGTTCACAGAGACCGTGCCCGGGCAGGGATAGGCAGCAGCCCCCTGAGCGAGCTCTGAGGTAACCAGGCACCTGCACAGGCCAGGCCCTCGCGGCTGCCTCCTTGGGCTCGCCCCCCCACC